AAAAAAAACTCAATGTCTAATGCTACATCAAACCTTTTCACAAAAATGTGTATTATCTGAAAAACTTGTAGTAGTAGCAGTAATAATAATACGTTTAAATAATAACGCTAAAATGTAAAAAAGAAAATTTTCACTTTAACACAGGCTTTCGTGACCAATATTATACATAATGTAAGTTTTTGGGTTAGATCTCGTAAATATAAATGTGTCGTCAAACTTGCCACCCGCCGACACAGCCAATTTTCACGATTTGTTACGTGAACAAAAGGTGTCGATTCGTTACTAGTTCAGCACATCGAATTGCAAATGTTGTAGGTTTACTCTCTAACACACGGTTGTGCTGAACTAGTAACGAATTGGCATGTTTTGTTCACGTGACAAACCTTGCTAACTGGCTGTGTCGGGTGGTGGCGGGTTTAACAACACATTTATATTGACGCGATCTAACCCCAAAAAACCTCTATTATGGATTTTTTTCCTACATTTTGTAAATACGTTGAGGTATAACTGGGCCATTGTGCACCAGGATGGAATTGAGCACTGCTTGGCGGACGCGTTGCCATAAAATGTTTATTTCTGCGGTTGTAATCAGGAGATGTGGGCAGTCGGGCATTTTAAGACATTTGTCCCCAGGTGATAGTTTTTCAAGATAAGGAATCTTTATATAACATAAGTATTTTTGAAAAAAAATGTCCAACAAAGAGTGTTTCTTGTATCAAGCTGGCAGTAAATCAGATACACAAATGTCAACGTAACAGAGTACTGTTGAGCTTTAACATTTTGTACGTGACACCAGTCAGTATTTCGGGATAATTGTGTCACTCGGTCCTTTTAGAAAGGGCACCGTGATCGCATTCCTTGCAGGTGAGTACAAACGTTTAAAAAGGTGATTTACGATTAAATGGGTGATATGAATTTCGGTGGACGGGGGGGCGGGGAAGTCTCTTAGGAGCTGTGCGTACACGTGAAGTTATCAGGTAAGTGACATTCTATTGAAAGAATTAGACACATAGCACATTGTGTCTATTTTTTTTAACTCATCATTGTACATGCCAACATTTTTGTTGCATGAAACAAACAGCACGATACGAAGTTGGGCTACTGCACGATACGCCATAAGCACACTGTGTGTTCACTGTGTGCTTTGGGAAAAGTCGGGGGTGCTTGCGACCAGATTTGTATGGCTTTACTGACACTGGACACAAGTTTGGGGTGCACATTATTTTTAGGAGCATCGTATAATTCAGAGAATGTGGTCATTTATAATTAACGATTCGTTTTATATATCGCTCTTTATACAACTTGCACCTGACAACGTTTTTACAATTAGTAACGCACAGAGGTGCGGTGAAAAACACAGCCAATCCGGACAGAGAGCCAGGCGAATAGTCAGTGCCAACACTTTCCCAAGCTCCGTGGTCATCTATATATTAAGATGTTTTCAGCCTAGTTAATCATTAGGAAACAGGGTGGGGGGAGGGGCAACACTCTATCCCATGCAGATGGAACAGCAGCAACATTTTCTGTCCCACCTTCTCCTGGAAAGCCAGAATATGGCATCTCGTCGATGCCCAGGGGAATGGAGTTTCACAACATCTGTGCGACCCACCAACCCTCGCTGCCTCTACAGTGGTGGATTACAGGCGTGCGCGTAGCCATTAACAAGAGGGGCAGGATTATACCCAGGCCATGCGAACAGATGCATAAGCTTATTAGCAAACACCTCAAGCCACGTATGAGATTAAACACGAAGCAACCAGATACGCGAGGGAAATAATGTAATTAATTGATCAAAGTCACTGGTGGAGGGAGCCACATTCAGTGAAATTAAACTTTTTGAGGGGATTTTGATTGTTCGCACAAAAAACACCAATAATTATAAAAGGCCACTGTGCAAGCGTGCTTGTGTATATGTATTATGTTGAACTTCATTCGCACCAATGTAGCCAACCGTGATAATCGGAGGTGCGGGGGAAGGACAATAAACTACACGCAAAAAGTAGTTCGAAATAAATGTTTTCAATCTAAGAAGAACTGAGTTGTCAATCTATAGTTCATGTGTATGTGTCGAATAGGTCCCTGTGTATGGCTTCTCACGCTTGTAAAATTGTCAGAAAAAACGCTTTGACCACTTTGTTGGTGTGTATGCGATACGAGGAGGGGGTTTTTGGAGGGAATGGAACCACATTTATTAGAAGACATTTTTGTCGTGGTAACAAACTACATTGGCTTAGTCAGGGTCATTCATGAGGCATGGGCGGGGGCTGGAGGGGGCTGAGCCTCCTCCCTGCTGAAGGCTGACTCACCCCCCTCCCTAAATGATTATCATCAAGTCAAAACCTTTTTGTAAAATATGTACTCCGGGTAGTGAGTTTTACTCAAGCTTCATCATATACGTGAGTGGCAGAAGGCATGATAAACAAATGCAGATCATATAGTCTCTTATATTGAGCGTTTGTATTTGTTGTAATGTTTATTTAATATTAATTTGTGTTGTGCCACCCCAGGGTCATCGTATAACACTCCCTTTAAACAAGCATGGCATCGGCATCAGAGAAAGTGGATTTGTTATAGTAAATGCTCTTCAGCTACAAGGCAGTGTGAATGATTATGCATTGTCTTTTCAATCTTACGTTTATATGTCACTACCAAGCATTCTATTCACGATGTTTTTGGTTTAAAAACATATCACGAATGATAAAGAGCTAGTTAAATAAAGGGCATTGATAGATCTGGCTTATTAATGTATCAGTTTTATATCACCTTTAACATGCTCTCTTAAGTGTAAAGTAATGTTTCCTCATTCTAATTTACTGACATTAAATTGTAATTAAAAGAACCGTGCGATAAAATAATTGAAATCCAGCCCGTGTCTATGAAGTCTATAAATGTCAAGCCTCATGAAACGTATCCCTTAATGTTCCATCGCAGGATTTGAAAGCTCTTAAGCACGAGCGTTAATGTTAATGCTCGTGCAGAGTAATGAACCAACACTGATGAGATGCTAAGTTCAAGTTCCAGACTGCCATCTGAGATTTCTCTTCTTATTCTTTCGGACGGCAGGATTGCAAAGCAACATTGCTCAAACGTGTTACAGTTGAATGCTAAATCTTTTTTCAACAAATCGCAGCAACACCGCCATGATGTTGCACGGATGGCGCATTTGTCGGTGATTCATTCGATCGTGAGGACCACAGTGACGGTTCGGCAATTCTTTGATCTTCAATTTGTGGAAGGTGGCTGTTGCATCTCCCACGGTGGATCGAGCGCGGTACAGCGAGCTCCATCGTTGTCGTGGGAGAGACAAGCCCTGGACTGCCACAGTCGTGGCCTCAGCAAAGTTTGTGTTTGCACTACGTCCACAACCGCCCACGATTGGGGGAGGATATGATAAAACTCGAGCAGTATCCCCTGCTCCGTGCATAAAGGACAACGGATGAGTGGTAAGTTTAACTACTTGTGCATCGTACATAGACAACCGTGCTAATCGGACTACAAACTAAACACAACAAGTAGTTCTGAAGTTATGAGAATTCAATTGAGATTTAAGAGTGCATAGCTACAGTGGCGTCCTAATGTCGGAAGGAAGAGCGTTCCAGACGGCCGCAGAAGTGCATCTGAAAGCACGCGATGCAGCGATCGTCTTTGTTCTGAAACGAATGGCATCAAATCGATGGCCGAATGTCCAACCAAGATATCCCGGCCTGGTGAGCAACAGTAAAAAGAGCCCTTCCCATCTGAAGTAAAAAATAACGTATGTAGTGTAGTTAGTGGTCTCAGAACTGAGTGCTCACCACCTGGCAACATTCCCTCTCATCCATCTTTACTCGTCATGCCTCGGAGTCGTTCTCTCTGAGATTGAGCCAAGACTAGGCGGGTAGGGCGGGGCACAGTGGCAATATGTTAACGACCTCGCATGGCATACAAGGATCGTTGGTTCGATCCCGAGCCTGACGCCTGCAGTATATTTGGAGTTTGCAGTGTCTCTCCGTGGTCGCGTGGATTTTTCTCTGGGTCCTCCCGTTTCCCTCTCCACATTTAGAAATATGTGTTGAGAGTATCTGGCTGTCTTCTAGGTATAGTAATACAGTATATAATTTAATGTTGGGTTTGTCTATGGCAGTATATAGTACGGGGTAGACCCGTGTGATGTAAGAGAATAAGGTTTAGTTGGAAGCATATTATATTTTTTGCGACATAGAATTGTAATGTATTACTTACTACTAGTAGCTCAGCTTATTGGAGAGTATAGTTAGTATACTGATGATACTATGTAGTTTATACTTTAGTTTTTTACGTGGTTGTTTAGTTACTGCAGCTACATACTATTAACATTCTGTCCCTTTATTAATGCTATCCCTATCCCCTCCCTTTGATGCTGCTAATCCTGCATAATGCACGGGCATAATATGACTTTAAACCCCCCGCCCACCTCCTACGCATTTCACAAGTAGTACTAATCGCATATCTGCATTTTTCATAAATATGCTAAATTCCTGTTGATATGCAAATTATTTTGTCAAGGCGCTCTTCTCCCTCCAACCCAGCTTAAATAGACGCTCCAAGCCTGCGGTGTGTCATTCAGACTCTGTCTTCTCGACAGACCTGTTCTTCACCTGACGACGGCTGCTTGCGTTGTGGCCGAAACGTCGTGATAATTATTTTATTATGTTTTTTTATTTTTATTGTATTATTTCCATTCTACGTGACTTTACCGAAAGAACCAAGAAGATGAATCCCTGCAGTCACGAAAGCTTTAAATCGAAAAGTATCTGGCTGCTATAAATGTCCACGTGATAAGCCACTTCGTTCATTTTGTGGCCAGGTCACTTCTGAAAGACAGCTAAATAGCTCAGTGGGCCTTACCTATTAAAATAAAAAAAGTTAGTTACTGTGCAGCATGTCACAAGTTGGAATGATTACCCTTGTAATAATTCCCATTGTAAAATAAGATATTTTAATATTTCACTCAATAAAAATGGCAAACATTGATTGCTGAGGATTTTTTAAAAGTTTATTTTCAATGTAATATAAAGGCCCATGTCACTTCAACAAAATACAAAATGCCAGAAACGATTTCTGAAAACAAAATAGGATACGGTTCACTGAATATTAATATATAGACAATAGATCATCTCTTTTTTAATGTAGTCATCTACAGCATCCTTTAGCAATCACAGCACAAAGGCTAGCAGAGGACTGAGTCTGTACATCCCTCAAATTATCAACAATCTTAGGAGTCTCTACATTTGAATAAATACACGGTATATACACGCTATCATAACGGGCAAAGAGTAGATATAGCCAGCATGTTTTTTTTAAACAAAATAAAACAAAAAAAACATCACAGCAGTTCCCTTTATATTGCATGCTTTTAAATCAATCTGTGATTTACATTTAATATAGACTTTACTGTGTATGTAATATGGTAACTGTAAAGCACTCTGTTGCACTATACCCCACAATTGTAACAATGGGTATACTCACTCAACCATGAAAATAAATACAAGTTAGTACAGTTAAATTTCAATATGTATATAAAAAATATACTGTACCCATATAGACTTTGCTTACATTTTCCTGGAGATATGCACTTCCTAAAATATAGTTTAATTTTAAATCCATTAAAAGTATACTGGTAAGAGCGTTCTGTTGTTACTATGCTGCCTTCATAACTCCTTGTATGTCAGTTAAGACCTTGCTGAGAATCACTTATGATTATTTTTTTCATAATTCGGCAATGTATTGCACAATTGATAACTGTTCTGTTTAAATAACCAGTTGTTTGTGGAATGCACTCCAGCCAAGATAGCACTGGGGATAATATAACGTATTTAGCAATTAAGCCAGAGATAAACCATTCCCCCCAAAATATGGCTGTTTAACTGGTCTTACCGTTGCACAAGTTTTAGCAATTTTCCAAACTTCCCGATATCTGATCCACTCCAGCAAAAATGTGCTTCTCACAGCAAAGAAGCTTGTCTGATAAGAAACATGGCTAAAAGCGTTCACTTTACATGACATTTAGTGTTTCCAAGGAAGAATGCCTTCTTCCACGATGGTACTATTCAGCCCGCTGGACTTCAGAAGAGTAGCCTTTATCTCGTGCTTCCGAAGCTAAAATAAATTAGGTTAATTTGCTATACATTCTAGACAACAACTAAGCTCCAATTCTACATATTGTGGTGGTCTAATACACAGAATGTCCAGGTTACTGGAGATAGTGTTCACCCAATTCGTAAAAACGAGTGCGAGTTATTTGCAAATGTGTATTCGGCCAATATGTGTAAGCCTGTGGTGTCAGTTGCAGTCATGTTTCCTCTTGAAGGTTTTCCAGTGATGTTGGTGAATAACGTGATTAGGTAATGAGGCGTGGACAAATGGTCATGTCTGGATCTGCATTCATCCCACAATACAACACCTATTGAGTCTCAAGTGGACAGGCACAGATACAAACATTTTAAGCATGCTGTTATCTCTAACGTACACTCCGATTGCTTGTATTGTTAGCCACGGCTGTCAGAAAGGTTTTCAAACAGTCCCCTCCTCACTCTTTATAGATGTTAACCTAACTATTGTTGGTGAGTTTATGATCATCCCCATACAATGCTTTTACAGTGGTATTTTTTAAACAAAGGTTATATCCGGCTGCTTACTCGACCAAGTATCAGTATATGATAACAAAATATATATTTTAAAAATACCACGGTTAAACTTGCATTGTTTATCAAATGTGTCCTTAAATAATCATTTGAACATTGTGAATTGAACGCAGCAGAGTGAGGATATTAAAATTATGAACTGTTGTTTATACACCACATATCGGTGTTGGAAATGGGTGATTGCAAAAGGTTTGCCCAAACGTTCGTATCAACGTGGTTTTAGAGCAGCAGACGCAGCAGTAACAGATTGCCAACATAAGAACAATGTCGTGTTAAGCAAATTGACATACCAACTAAAATGTGAAATGTGTATTGCATGAATCTTCTTTACATACTTTATTCAGAATTAATTTGGCTTGTTTTTGAACGGTATATTTATCAAGTAATATCTGCCAGATGAAAAGTGATTAATGTCAAATTATGAACGTTTTGCTTCACTGCACTGTTGAATGTCAACGTTGCAATCTGTCGTTTTCCATATTATGCCACCTTTCTTTCCCCCTGCTCTTTCGAATAACTGTTGAAGAAAAAATCTTGGGTTTTTATCATTATTTATTCAAAGCAGAATATGTTTTCTTTGATTAAAATGAAAGGGTAGTATTGCAGTTAGTTTTTCAACCCTATTATCAATTCTTTCACGAAAAAAAAAATTTCAGGTCAAAGCGTGACCTTCGATTACACTGCTAGCTGATTGCAGTCAGACCGCGAATACCATTATTTTAATCTTTTATGAAGGCAAATATCACTGGGGTCTCAATAACAAGGTTTTGTGGGCGAGAGGTGTTAACATGTAAATAGATTCATATAGCGCCTTAGTCCAAGGCGCTTTACACTTATTCAAAGTTGTAGATTAGATGATAGTGGTAAAAAAGAGTGGGGTTATTAAAAGTGGTGGTGTAGTTTGGGTGATAGTGAGGAGGACAGGTGGGAGTGTTTAAGGAGTAGTGACAGCGGTCAGGGTAGTGACAGGAATAGTGGTAGGGGTAGTGATAGGGGTAGTAATAGGGGTAGTGATAGGGGTAGTAATAGGGGTAGTGATAGGGGTAGTGATAGGGGTTGTGGTAGGAATAGGGATTGTGACAGCGGTCGGGGTAGGCCTGGTCGTAGCTGGGGGGCCAGGGCAGGGAGTAGCAGTAGGATAGGCAAGGGAGAAGAAATGGGGGTTGTTTTAAGGGAAAAGTGGAAGCAGGTTAGTGAGGATGCTTGCTCCGTGTGCTGCAGTGGGTGCTGGTTCCAGGGTAGGGGAGCAAGACGGGAAAAGCAACGGGACAACGAGACTGGGCACAGGGCGAGGGTGGCACAGAGAAGGACGGTAGATATTGGGAGAGTGGAGGACGGGATGGGACAGGGTAGTGAGAGATGAGAGAAGCAAGATATGATGGGGCAAGACCGTGGAAGGATTTATAAATGAGAGTGCGAAATTTAAAAAAACAGAAATAGTGGACAAGGAGCCAGTGGAGTTGGGAGAGTAGAGCAGAAGTGTGGGAGTTGTGGACATAGATGCGGGATTTCTGAAGTTCACAAATTCACAAAAAGATACAACACCTGGAACTTTTCCACAAAACACCATCAACACTAGTTTGTATGGTTATGATGTTTGTTAATCACAGACGGTTCATCTCTATCGCCATTGTGATTCTCCTTCATGAGTGAGTCGTAGATAACAACGGTCACTGGACTGGATGGACATAACCCATGCTGTTAGCATTCAACTAAATACTTGCAAGCAGATTATACATCAGGTTACATCTGTAAAAGTGTCTACTTAGTCAAGACGGTAACATGGGCAAGGGGAGGTGGGTAAAGTGTGGTAATGGAGTCGGGAAGGATGGATGGAAAAACATCTGCATTCTTTATAAGAGTGCCTTATGCGAGCATGTACGGTTCTTGGTGCTTCCCATAACACGAGATGACTCGAATGAATGGTCAGAAGCTCTTGTCTGGCAGTGGCAGTAGCATCACTGCCTGCCTGCTTTTCGTGTGTTGTGCACATGTCCATTTGCCGGCACCACTTAGGGCAGCAGCTTCCCCCGTGGCTGGTAGAAGCAGGCCCGGGTGCAGGCTTGCAGCTGCTCGGACGAGGCGTCGGAGATAACCGAGCCCTCTTCGTCTGTGTAGGCCGAGTCACACGAACCCCTCCCTCCCCCTCGCCTGCTCTGCTGGCAAGGCACCAGCCGCACCCCCGGTGACCACAGGGGCTTCCAGACCTCCTGCACCAGCGGGTCGGACGAGAGCTGCGTCGCTTCGGCAGAAATGGTGGAGGAGCTATCGCAGCCGGCGTCGTCAGGGCCGCGGTAGTGCCGCCACACCAGCCGCTTCCACAGGTGGCTGAGGTCCTGTCGTGCGAGCGGGGTGAAGAGCAGGTAGAGCAGAGGGTTGAGGCAGGCAGGGAGAGGGGACAGCAGTAAAAGTAGGGTCCTGGGCACCTCAGGCTCCACGAGGACTAAACGTAGCAGTCCTGCAAAGGAAAAGAAGGCCACAGGACAGTAAAGTACGCAGTCGATGAAGATCAGCCAGGCCACGTGCTTCACCATGGCCCCTTCGCTGGGATCTAGTGGATCTTCCTTCTCCAGTGAGCAGTAGAGCCAGGTGTAGGTGATGGCCATGCTGAGGAATGCGAGCGAATTGAGCAACACCAACGTGGCAAGGTAAGCCAGGGACGAGCTGTCTCCGTTGGGAAGTGGCAGGCAGAGCGGAGACTGCCCGTAGTTGCCGACGTGGAACAGAGGCAACGCGGCCAAGGCCACCGCTAGCGCCAGAACGATGCCGGCCATGACCCAAGCCGGCAGCATCGACGGGGCCTTGCCGTGCCTGGACAGCCGCCCTACGCTCAGGGCCCGCTCCAGCGCGGCCGCCGCCAGCAGGAAGATGGACGACTCGGAGGCGAACACGGCCGTGAATCCCAGTGCCCGGCAGCCGACTCCCGTCTCCCAGCGCGCGCCGAACTCGGCGAAACGGCCGTAGGTCGCGGCGTCGAGGCCGGCCATCGCGCCGCTGTAAACGCCCGTCAGCAGGTTGGCGAGCGACAGGAGGCCCAGCAGCAGGCGCAGGGAGGTGAGCCGCTGGCACGAGCAGAACGTGGCAAGCGCCACCATGGCGTTGGTCGAGATGGCGAGCAGGAAGATGAACCACACGCCCAGGCGCACCATCCAGCTGCCCAGCAGGTACTCGCATGGCTTGAAGGCCCCTGTCAAAGCCATTCACTCCAAATGTAAGTTCACAACGTCGTTCTGCTGTTTAAGACGCGGGCTCTCGCGTCCAACATTATCCATAATAATAATAAACATCGTGGGTTTACACGCCAATACACACGTGGTGCTGAAGTAGTAACTAATTGGCATGTTCGTTGACGTAAAAAAACTTTCTAATTGGCTGCGTCGGGTGGTGGTGGGTTTAACGACACATTTATATTTACGCGATCTAACCCAAAAAAACCTTTATTGTGGGTCAGTCTGCTGTTCTCTGCGAAGCTAAAATATAATGAGGGGTGTAGTTGAGTGCCTGGCGATAAACCCGTTGTGCTCTATTGTGATGTCTTTGGAATTGTGATGGTAACGAGGTTGTTGAGAAGGACCACGTTTTGTGATGCCACTGAGGTTATTGTAGATGTCTTGTGACCCCCCCCTCCTCCCATGAATTGACCCCATAACACATTTTTTCATTTGCATATTTAAGTATGTTTTCAATAAACCTTACAATAAAACACTGAGTTTCAGAGAATTTTATTTGGGGGGGACACAAGACATCTGGACCACTTTGTACTGTGTGCTTTCCAGTCCAATGGTGAACTTTGACAAATCGATTGCGTCAAATTCACGCTCAATACCATACAATTTTGGACGTAGGTTTAGCTTCGGTGGCCATGCCGTTTGTGCTCGAGATGTAGTGTGCTGTATCCAGAGCATAATGTGAGTCGAGGTGAAGTACCTGGCGTTGGTGTGCAATGCACAGTATGCTGTAATTTGAGATCATCCTCCAGCTCCAAGAAGAACTCATCAGAATCCAGATCGTCTGCCACAACAACGGATTATTGTTAATATGTGACATTTGCAAGCACAAATCACGAGCAGAGCACCGTCACGGCCAACGATGTTAATGCCACCACACCTCAGTAGCCTCCGATTACCACGGTTGGCCGTTTACGGTGTGAAAGAAGTTCAACATACGCACATACTTTACCATCATCGCTCTCACAAATCCTCCAAATGTTGCACAGTCCACATTCAACCTCCACAGTCTGCTCTCATAGTTTCCCATCATCTGGACTCAAGTGTTTCCCTTGGTCACGATCTCATCTTTGGGTGGCTGTCTCAGGACCCTGCCCCCCCCTCCATCCTCCTGCACGTGTGTCCCACTCATCTTGCCACAGCGTCTTCCTGATTGCATCGACAATGCTTTTCGCACCAGATTATAATGCTAAATTCCAAGTTGTTTGCCGTATTTTCTGTCATGAAATTCCCATCACACGTATAGATGTATGTATTTAAATACATATATTTTTGTATAATGTGTTATTATTGCAGTACATGTACAGAATATTTGAAAATGGTATTTAAATTTTGAGCACAGCATCGGCATTAAACATCGAATAAAATGTCAACTAAGATACTCGAGTAATTATATTCCCAGAGCCTGCTATCCACAGCAGGTCATTGGTGTGGGATTGCTACATTTTCATTCGCACGGTAAGTAGCCAACCGTGCTGATCAGACGTGTGGGTTGAGGTTCATGGTTGGAATCCAGCGGCCGCCCTGATTTTTACTGTCTGTGTAATGACCGTAGTCATACTATGCGCCGTCCGCTTCACTCACAGTGGACGTTAAAGGTCCGCCGACGTGTGTCGGCATCAGTGTCCAAATTTTTCAAATTCGACAATTACACCGCAAATTACTCAATCAGAATACCACGTAGCAATCTCCATCGTCACCACCGACTGGTAGACTAATATTCATTTGCAGGCTGGGTGCCGAGTCGCTACGTGCCTACAGGGACAACTGCCACTGGGGGTGGCTTTTCAAATGTAATGAGATGAGATGTTGATGTAGAGGGCTCCAAGATCCCTTGAAATATAGGGCCCTCTATATCAAAAACATTATTATTTTTGTAGTTTAAGAGAGATAAATATACCAGCAATGTAATGTTGTATTTAATTTTTATTTATATATATAAAAAACTTTTGTACATTTTTGTAAAAAAAAAGCCTTACAAAAATGTTATTTCTGAAGATTTGTTTTTCGTTTAGCTGAGAGTCTAAAAACTTTATTTTTATGACCAGGTCTCTTGTCGGGTCACGAAATCCCTTTGCAATATGTTGCCTGCCACTTACACCACCGAGGGACAGAAATTGGCGGTCGTCATGACCCCAGGACAGCAGTTGGAAAACGCGGAGCCGAAGGTCACCGCGGACTTTTGAATCGGCCGTTCGGTGGTGGTCCATCACGAGACAACATCGGCAAGTATAGGGAATGTGTGGTTGTGGTGGAGTTTAATTCCCACATCAAATGCGAATGAATAATACGAGTCAATGTACTCGAAACAAAATTAAGTGAACATTTGGCATTAAGCACTTTGACAAAAGGTAACAAGAGTTAACAGGAAATGCCCAGCCTGTTATGGGTGATATTCTGCAAAAAAGCCCATTTACATCCATGACGCTGTGTTGCGATATTAAACTAAGGTTTTCTCAAGCATCACTTGAATTATATTATCCGTGAATCCATGGAGAAGGACACACAGACCCCCTGGCCTCAGAGTGTAGTTATATTCAAAGGAAATGATGTGAGAGAGGCATTTGGCTGTGTATAATCATTTATAATTTGACAGTTTTGAACATTTTGTAACTTCTACTGCTGTACTGGTTAACATCTATCAGTGTGTTTACTTTGATATTCAAAGATACATTTAAAAATAGCGAAAACAACGAACAGCAATGTCTTGTATAGCTCCTTATATTTATACAGCTCCTTGTTCTCAAACATGTCATTCCTCTAAGTAGTGATGTCGCGGTAAACTTAAAACGTAGGATGTAGATCACTGTGTGTAGAAGCACTTGTAGGGGCGTTTGCCAAAAAACAAATAGCGTTTAGAGGCTAAGCCAATGGTTGCTTCCCCGTGGTTTTAACAGCGTGGCTTTGGAGTCATAGTTTTCAACCCTTGTTGGACTTTGCACCGTGTTGCCTTTGCGGACCCAGATCACGAGGCCTGTGGATCATCGGAGAGTCGTTTGCGCTCAATGAGCAGAGTACAGTCCGCACCGTGTAACGCGCGGTCGGCTTGCAATGACGCATCCGTCCATTCGTTCATCGATTAACGTAGATGCTTACGCTCACAAGACGCGCAGAGAGTAGCACGTGAACGATAAATTACTGCTTATTTACATGATTTAAACATTTCATGCGAATGTAGCATTTAGGCAAAAGATAGTGAAGAAGATAGAGAACTGGACAGAAGAGATCAACAACAACAAAAATAAACAGTGCAATCAAAATACTGAAAATGTGACCCAGGATTTAGTCGATAATTGAACCGAATTAAAAACCACAAACCACATGAGAGGTTTTTTTGGGGTTTGATTGCACAAATTTAAATGTGTTGTTAAACCCGCCACCACCCTACACAGCCAACTAGTAAGGTTTGTCACGCAAACAGAACATGCCAATATGTTACCAGTACAGCACACCGCCTGATGATGCTAGTTGTAATTGCTTGCAAAGGGTCATACTCAGATTGTAAATGTTGCGGATTTGCTCCCCAACACACCGGTGTGCTGTACTGGTGACGGATTAGCACGTTCTGTTTGCGTGACAAACCTTACTAGTTGGCTGTGTTGGGTGGTGGCGGGTTTGACGACAATTTTAATTTGCGCGATATAACCCAAAATAACCTCTATTATGGATCATATTGGTCGTGAAAGCCTACGTGTTAAACTCACATGACTACATTTAGATCGCTCGGGAGGGTGAATAGCTACTTGAGTGGTGTATACATTATCGAGCCTTTCCCAAGAATGCTAAGCCTTGCATCAGTGAGACGACCACCAAGCTGAGCCCCTGTGCATGTTTATGTTGGAGCCAACATAAAAGCGATTCTCTACAAAAGGAAACGAGGCTTCAGTTGAATAAAATTGTCCAGATTATGGTTGTGCAAGACTTCCCCAATAGACGGAGGGGAAAAAAAACTATCCTTCACAAATCAACCTAGAAAATATGTAATCGCAGTGTTTTGCTACTGGTTTGGTGGCATTGAGTCTACAGCAATAGGGGTATTATGGAGAATAATACCAGGTGTGGACAACATATGCAGAGATGCACGGACGGGCATTCACAATATGGGGGTACATGTCAACAGGGATTAGTGTGCAACCCAGAGCTTCAGTCCACGTGGCTTAAAGTCACTGCAACTCCGTCCACGTGTAATGTGAACCTGCACATGTATACAATTTGGTGTTGTATAGCATCACAGTAATACAACGGGGTATCTCTAGCTACTTTGGATACTTTGTACCTCGCAATTTTCTCCCCCAGCTGTCCCCTCACCCCCAGTTCAAAAATCCGTTTTTGTTTAGAATTGTTTCTTCACTTTTTTGCCTCATTTTGTTCCAAGCCGTTAAAAGTCTTCAAGTAACATTAACATGATCACTTGCATATAATTGGCGCGATTAAGTAATGACGTATTCTTCGATTGCATGTATTGTGGGCGTAGTATCGATTTCGATCAATTAACGGATGTATTTTTGTTTCTATATTTTGTGCATCTTCTCCTTTGAATAAGACTACTAGGCCAGCAGGGTCTGTGTTGCCCTTCCCCCATGGATTCACAGACAATTCAAACTACCATAATAAAAAAATGTTTGAGTTAGATCGCGTACATTTTTGGGTTAGATCGCATATTTACGTGATCCAACCCCAAAACAACCCCGTATTATAGATGATATTGGCCTTGAAAGCCTACGTGTTAAATTCAAACTATGTTCTGCATTCATGAGGCCAGGGAGCCTGTGTATCTTTCCCCATGGATTCAAAGACAAAATTCAAATGACGAAAGGAGAAAACCTTAAGTTCAGGCGTCGGCAATCAAAGTAACAAGATGAGCGATTGTTACCGAATTAGGTAAAAAAAAAAACCCTCAATATTTCAAGGGCCGCAGTGCACTGTGGGTGAATACGAGATGGTGGTGGTCCTTAATAAATAACGGTCACGAAGCAGTTCCTGAAAGAGCCGCAGGTTGCCGACGCCTACCTTAGTTCTGTACCTCAAAGCAGTCTATATACTCTCTCTCTCTATATGTAAAACGTGTGCATTTGTTTCTATGTAAGAATTATAAGTGAGGTGTTGGTGTGTCGCAGCCAACACTCAGGAGACTGGACATCAGAGAGAAACCAATGCTTGGTCGGACATAAGGGCAGTGCGATGGTGTCTGTACGAGACAGAAGAAACATCAAAAACGGAGTGGAATTGAAATAAGGTGACAGTGGATTCGGAGTTAGAAGGAGAGAGAGAGAGCATACATGATGTTCTCGATAACTAGAGAAAGTAATGGAGTTCCTTGAAAATTGGTGTAATGCTCTGTTTAGTGTGTATGCTTGTTGAACTTCGTTGACACCATACTTAGCCAAACCATGCTAATCGGCAGTGCAGTGTAAGGACAACCAACTAAAAACAAAAAACAGTTCTCGATAAATTAGTTTTGAATCTCGATAAATTTGTTTTCAATTTAATGAGCGAACAAGCTGTGAATAGATGTATGTATCATATGCAGCTCATATATCGATGTAACGATATGCGAGTCCATAAAAGACAGCTGCAGCTATTAAAGTGTAATGTAGCGAAGGTTTTATTGACGGTGGTTATTCGTCACTGGATATGTGAAATGGAGACGTTTTTTATGTTTGTAATACCATGCACATATTCATCACAATTAAAATATTTTACTGATAGGAGTTTGTTTTGTAGTGCATGCTTTCTGGGCAATTGTGCATTTTTGTGCTCGTAACGAGTTTAGTTGTGTTTACTGCTTGATTTGCTGCACCAGGCCACCCTTGTAAACTCGATGTTAAATTGTCTAAAGAGCACATTCCTTGATAAACATGTTCCATGAGTAAATCAAATTCCTGGTTCTCTTTTTGCCCCTGCCCCCACGTAAAAAAACTGCATGCAGCACCCTTGGTGAGTAGTTTTAAAGCTCTTGTAAAACCTGATTTAATGCTTCAAATGAAAAGTATATGAGACATTTAACGTTTTACACTTACTGTTCATAGCTTTGATGATGATGGGAATATATTTGCTCTGACAACACTGCATGGGTGATGAAAACAATGGTCTTCAAACGTGCACGTCATAGCTTATCCACTGTTGTTGATGGGCGCCATGGGAGCGAGATGTTAACTACCTCGCCTGGTATACAGGAGGTCGTGGGTTTGACTACGACACTGATGCCTCTATATTTGGAGTTTGCATGTCTCTCTCCCGGTGGATGCACGGATTTTTCTCCGGGTGCTCCGGTTTTTCCCTCGACATTTAGAAACGTGCGTTTAGAGTATTTGGCTGCTGCTATACATTTCCACATTGTAAGCCACTTTGCTGAGTTATCGTTTGTGGCCAGGTCGCTTATGAAAAAGAGATATATAGCTCAGTGGGCCTTACCTGGTAAGATACATAAAATAGTCTATCTGTTCTACAAACATTAGATTTTATTTTTAAAATGAGCATGCATGCCCCCGCAATGTGGTGCACAGAAAACTGATTTTCTGCCGCTCTTTTGTGCACGACACAGATGTCGCTTTGCATAGAAACTCACAGATGTCCGGTTGGCCAAGGTACGTTTGAACATCTCTCTTGTGGATATCCTCTCCGTCTGAGAGCCACTGGTTTTGTGCAGAGACAGGCGTGTCACAGTAGCCATAAGCGCAGCATTGGTATGCAAAGGGCACCTCCAGTGTCCTGCAGAAGGTTAAAAAAAGTGCACAAAGTTACAGGTTATCAGTGTCACGACTGACACAATAATAATGTTATATTAATCATGTAAAAAATTGGAACGCGCTGCACATTATTCAGAATCGGAATATGTATTCATATTGGAGGAATCCGATGAGCCATGAATCTATTTTTCGCAGATTCAAGAGGCGCAAGCAGGAACCACAGACCAGGGTGAAGGCAGCCATATGATGAGATGGCACAAAATACTTGCCCAAGTTCTGCCATCCTCTATACACTAAGGTGCTTTCAGCCAATGAATGCGTGTTTTAAAACAACAAAAATAATAATGACAACCTATCTGCACCTGACCTCTTTGACTTAAAAACAATTTTCTGCAAAGGAAAGCTTCGTTCGATGTCTTCATATTTAACGTGATAAAATTCACATAAGTTTATTGTCATCATTGACAACATTTAACTCACAGAGCTAGCTTACGTCATCATTGTCAAGCAACATACATGATCAATACCTCCTGCGTCGCTGATAGCCCTTCCAGCTTCGTGATGCCGCTGTGCATCTCGCTCCTACATATTAGCTGATGGTGGTGCGTCTCTTCTTTCCGTCACGTTTCTCTCATTTCTTGACTGCTATTCCATCACCAGTCTCGTTCATCGGCCGTCATCGATTACCTGTCTCCGATCGAAGCATTCTTCTTTCTTCGTGTAATTCTCAGCACACATCTGGCTGTACTTGTTTTTTTTTGTTTTACAAATCTATTTACATCTAAATATGTGCAGTTTGCATGGCCCTGTTGAAAGCGAACTCCTTAATGAGATTCTAGATTTGAAGTTTTCGTGACTGCAACGGTGACGGTTCCACCTGAAGACGGAAGCTTGTGTTGCCTCCGAAACGTCGTGATTTAATTTATTATAAATTTCTACCTATGTGACTTTACCGAAAAAACCAAAGAGTATGAATCCTTAATGAGAAGCAATGAGACTAAACCTTTTGCAATGCATCATATTTTTTTGTAAACTTTAGTTGTTTATATATATATGAATAATGAAGTATTTTTTTACGTGTATGTTGAACTTATTTCGTACCGTACGTAGCCAACAGCGCTAATCGAAGGTGCGGGGGAAGGACAACAAACTAAACACAGACAAAGTATAGGTCTGATTCAATATATGCAAATATATAGCCTTCCTAAGGATTTTCCATTATGTTAAAGCTTCATAAACGTTAGAGCTATAATGCACTACCTCAAATACAATTGCGCTCACGTTCCAAAATGTGGGATAACAACAGACATCGGCCATGGTATATTACGTGAATATACAAATTGACGAGGTTTTATTTTCCTCGACGTCTGAATTCGTGACGGTTGATTGCTTGAAATGAAACTGGGGCAATCTTCGTGAGATAATAAATATTCCTACCATTTACGCAGCTCATTTTTTGAAAAGTCCTTTGGTTTAATGTTTACACGTGACCACTGAACAAGCAGTTGGAAATGCTTTCCTGGAATTCACATTTAACGCTGATAGATGACATAAGTGAGAACACGTGTGAGCCCATGTGACATGCTAGAGCAAGTCAACTTGGTTGGCAAAACAGAGGCTTGTCAAAAGGTGCTTCCGAGCCACTTTCTTAGCAGGGGTTAATCCTGTTAACGTCTTGCTCGATGGCAGTGGGGGAAAACGCTGCTTTTCTGTAACGGCAAGCTTCCTTTTTTTTCTTCAACTCCTTTAATCTGCAGTGCAAGATGTAAACTGGATGCTTCACGGTGCATCTGGGTTTTGTTCCAAGTTTTGTTTTTCGTTGGTGCTGGCCTGCATCTGAGTGGTTCTATCCTGCATGCATGCATGCATTGAGTCTCTAAGCCAAATATAAAGAACCCCCCCGTATAGCCTGAACAGACTGTTGGCGCAAGTGCTGTTCGCAGGCGCCTATGAAGGCCGGCACGGCACGTGACGGGGTGGGTGGCAAGTCTCCCCAATGCTAGTTTTTACATCTCGCATTAGGTACTCATTCAAGGCTGAGTGAGCTAAGGGGAGGCCCCAAGGACCAGTTTAGATATTCGTCACCGATGTTGATCGTGAGTGGGAACATAACTTGAGTCACCGGATCTGGAGCACAGTGCGCTAACCACCACGGCACGACTACTCCCCACACGTATTTGAGACAACACACACCGGAGGTGAGGGAAGTGCTGAGTGGGGTTGAGGTGGATGAGTGCGGGGTTTCCCCCCAGCTTGAGGTGCACCAGTCCCTCCAGCCCTTCCGTTGGCACCCACGATAGTCCGTTGGAACTCAAGTCTCTGCAGAGGGGGATGACATACGTCTCGCAATCATCACTCGCAAAACCAAAACGATAACAAATGGCGCTTGCCAGTATTTCCAGACTAACACCTTTGCCAAACACTCAAGTTTTTTTAGTGTATTTAAATCTGAATTAATTTGGTTTATGTGTGGAATTAGGAGACAGTACTAGATCAAGTGCAATCCTAGATTCTTCAATTGCTTTGTGATTTTATTTTAGGCAGGCAGTAAGTATGCACAAGAATGTTATCTTGAAAGACGTCGATCAATGCACTATTCGGGCTGATTCTACAAAGGGGGTTTTAAACTGCTTACACAAGTTTGTTGCCAATTGGGAAAATGTACTTTTCTGTGATTGGGACATTTCTATCATCAAATTGCAGAGTTCTAACATACTAAATGTTATGATTTCCTTTGAGTAATATAGAATCTTAAAAAAACCATATATAAATGGAGTACAGAGTTAACCGTGAAGATTTGAATGATAATGATTTATTTCACAGCTGTAAAGGGTGGCTTGCCATGGAAGTAATCCACTCCCGCAGATGCACAGACGCATAAATGGTCAAACAAGATAGTGTATGAAGCGGTGTAAAGGGATGTAGTGAGATCAATGAGTAGAGGGAATCAGAAGGATCCAGGCACAGTGGTGAGCTCATTTTCATCAAGACACGGTGGCTCAATGGAATAACATGAAAGCAGTTATGCAATGCTGCAAAGGTTGATCACAATCTCTGAAAAAATATATCGACTAATTTTTGTCTTTACACACTTTTTTAGTGTCTTTAATTTTAGCTACACAACCTTAAAGGCAACAAGCATATTCTTGATTTGAAGCTTTCGTGACTGCAGGAATTACTCTCTGGTTCTTTCGGTAAAGTCACATAGAAAGAAAATAAATTAAATCATAGAATACGACGTTTCTATTGCAACACAAGCAATCATCATCAGGTAGAACACAAACCTAGTGAACTTAGAAATACAATGCAATCCCACACAGAGAGTCGGCTAACACAACAGTCAGTAGTCAGGACCTTATCTGGTGGTGACGTTCTTCCAAAGATTGCAAAATTTGAGAGAAAGACAAAACACAGACACGGGGACACACAGACAGACACACAAGCAGAGAGAGACAACACAGAGACACACAGCGAGTCTATGTTGTCTCTCTGTGTGTGTCTGTGTGTGTGTCCCCGTGTCTGTGTTTTGTCTCTCTCAAATTTTGCAATCTTTGGAAGAACGTCACCACCAGATAAGGTCCTGACTACTGACTGTTGTGTTAGCCGACTCTCTGTGTTGGATTGCATTGTATTTCTAAGTTCACTAGGTTTGTTTTCTACCTGATGACGATTAAATGTGTTACAATTGAAACGTCGTATTCTATGATTTAATTTATTTTCTTTCTACGTGACTTTACCGAAAGAACCAAAGAGTAAGTACATTCTTATCTCCAGTCATGCACGAACGTACAAACGCTTGATTAATCAAATTGGAAACGCGTCTCGGCGAACTTGGCTCGGGAGGGCACCAAATAGTGAAGGTTAAACAAGCCGGCACAGCACGAGGGGAATGTGTAGCGCCCCCCTCGCCCCCCCTGTGACGGGCTCGCTGGCCAAGGGGGGCAGGGGGTAGAGAGGGGCCCGAGCGAAGAGAATGGGCAAGCGGCGGTGGGGAAGGAGGAGGAGGTGATGGAGGAGGAGGGAGGTGCAGCTGCTCACAGTTTTCCGAGGCCGCGCAGGGTGAGGAAGGCGTGTGGGTGGACCTCTTGGATGTTGTTCTCGCTCAGATCCCTGAGTTACAAACAACACGGCATTCTTGGCATGGCACCCTTGGCCTGCAGCAAAGGACCCTTTCTTTAATCACAGTCTCTAAGGCGTCTTCTGAAGTGAAATCCAATAATAAAAACAAACACATCACTGTTTCTGTTACATCGAAACTGACATATTGCTTATATGCTAGCCAAATAATTGTCAGATGTGATTCATTGTCCATTCTTGCAGATGGAAGTGAATTGCCATAATCATCATTATTATTATATTCAAAAGAACAATATATTTCTGAAAACTACATGTGGAAATTCTGAGAGTGTATTGGAACGTCACGAGGTTTGTTTGATGCCTTCTTAACAAGTTTTAAAATACTTTATTTTTTGTATTTGACGTAATCTGCAATACGTATTTGATTCCCTCAGGTCAAATGAATGCATCCCATTACTGACCATATGGAAATAAAAAAAACCCCTCTAATTTCACATCTAAGGGGCACACTTCCTAAAATTGGGAGGTAGACAATAAAAAACCTCACCCACGCAAAAAAGTCTCATGTTCCAGTTATGTATTTTGATTATTTAATGTATTATTTAAATGTTGTAAACTTGTAATATACATTTTCAAATTGTTTAGATTTTCCCTCATCTGTATATTTGCTGTCTATATGAAGGATAAACAGCAAGTTGTGTTTGGTGAGTTTGGGTGAAACTAAAAAAAATCATAATCAGCGCAATCCATGATCTATCCACTGCTGGTTGAAGGCCTCCCCAAGCAATCACGATCGAACACGTGGTTGAAATCACACAAACCATCTAGCTCCTTGCATACCAGCTGATTTCATCACTCCATCTCCATAGTTGACGTCCTTTCGGGCACATTCCCTTCTATGGTTGACACTCCAATGTTAGTCTCGACCTTGTGTTCCCATTTCTGTCTCTCAGTCTAACAAGTGGGCTCAGTAAAATCGAACATTTTGTCCCTCAGTATAACTTTAATTTCTGACTCTCAGTATAGCTTCATTTTGTCTCTCAGTAAAACATCCATTGTGTCTGTCAGTATAACTTTAATTTCTCTCTGTATAAAATGAATGAAAACCCCGTTCATGCTTCTTTGAGCACTCTTTAGCTTTGAGTCCAAGTTCTAGGTTAATGTCTGTGTTTCTGATCCACATGTCATAGCAGGCATTATGAGCTGATAAACACTTCTTCAGTCACATCACTACGTGGCTTTCCATTGTTGAGTTCAGTTTTTTAAAAAGCATTTCAACCCTCTATTGTCTACCACTTATTTTATCATTTTGATCGTGATCCCTCTGAGATTAACCACCCTATATAAATATATATTCTTCTGATGCACTTTCCAGTTGCGTCGTTCTGACCGATGTCTCCAATCGTTCAGAGAAATTATTTGCACATGCCTCGCTTTGCTTTGTTCAAGCTCACCCTGAGCCCCATTCCTCAGTCCTCACTGTCAGTTTTTCCTGTCCTACGGTGTCATTCGTTCCATTGACAAATCACGAGTCATAATTCCTCACTGCGCACCCCCCCCCACCCCCACCTTTTGAATAACTGGCTCCTGCCATGGAATACGATAACTTCCTCCTGCCACACAGAAGTGATGCGCCTGGCTCCTGGGCCATCAATGACCATGGGAACCATGATACATTGGCTGGAGGGGGGCGTGGGAGGGAGATGCCCACGTGTTTTTTGTTTCTAAATCACAAAAAGTACGAAACGTTCAGCAATGTGCCACGTCTACATTGTTCATAAAGTGGCCACAGAACACAAATATTGTGCCCACTGCTGCTGCTGCTGGAAATTGTTATTGCTGTTTGGTGGGCTTTATTCTATCACCTCCCCTGAGCAAACATTGAGATCCTGAATGCGTCACTTAAATTAAGTAAGATTTTTTGGAAAAACTCGGGAGAAAAATAAGTTATGCTTCAACGGTTTTCGGAATATGAGGCTATTTTCATTAATCTGTCAGCTGCATTTGTTACAATTGCTACTGCACTGCATGGTTGAAAAATACCCCAACTGTCACAGTCATTTAACGTTTCATACTTCTCACTATTCGAACGTTTAAGCTGCCTTGTGAGTAATCTTGAAAGTGGTGTTTAATTGAAACAAATGTCACTGAACAAAGTCCCACCTCAATGCTATCAGTGTAAATTGTGTCACAATTACTAAACAAGGGCAGCAGACGATAGCAACAGTCCTCTGAGATGAGTCCCTCACCATAAGTAATTCATAATTGTTATGTCTTTCTCTGCAACTCATTTGACCAATTTTAGAGATAGAAAAATATGATGCGTGATCCCAACACGTGCTCAAAAAGTAGATGTTCATATGCACCTGTAATAACATCATTTGAAAGACTTACAGTGATTTCAAAAAGGCGAGGTATTGAAAAGTGTCTTCCCCAATTTCTTTCAATTCGTTGTTCTGCAGAGATCTAAAAATAAGCACAAATGCAATTAGTACGTCTGTTTCTTCATTACAATCTCCATCCATCACACTCTCCCAATAATAATAATAATAATGTTATATAAGTAGCTGTCACCTTGAGTTTTAACACACGTGTCATACTTTGCACCGAGGAACCAGTCACATTTCATACGATCAATTATTTACGTAGGCTTTCGCCGCCAATATTCTGATTCATAAACTAGTTTTGTATGATCTTGATTTGAAGCTTTCATGACTGCAGGAATCGATACTCTTTGGTTCTTTCGGTAAGTCACGTAGGTAGAAATGAAACAAAATAAATTACGACGTTTGGATAGCAACACAAGCCATTGAAGACGATGGCTTGTGTTGCTATCGAAACGTCGTAATTTATTTTGTTTCATTTCTACCTACGTGACTTACCGAAAGAACCAAAGAGTATAGTTTTGTACGCATTGTAAGATAAAAAAAAGTTACATAATTTAAGCCAATACAATAATCGAGTAGTATCACTTCTGCCACTCTCTGCTCCCAGCGCAGACTGATGACATCACACCCCCTGTTTAAGGCCCAAGACTGGAGGGCATTTTCACAATTCGGGAAACTGCCTGATGATGCTGGTTGTAACTATCAGCGAAACGTCTGAACCCATTTAAATGTTGTGACATTGCTCTCCAACACACGAGTGGTGATGCTGAAGCAGTGATACATTGGCACATTCATTCACGTGACTACTTTATTCATAGGATGTGTCGGATGGAGGAGGGATTCACGCCACACATTTTATTTATATGATCTGACCCAAAAATATAAATTCTGAATCAACCAATAACCCGTTCATGTTTATATTTAGCCCTGAAAGATAAGTCAGTTATACCATTCACTCAAATAATATTAAGGCTGTACAAACTCAACACACAGTCGTAAAATATATATTTTGTTACTTTTTCAAATGCTCTCCAACACACTGGTGTGCTGTAATAGTGACGAATTGGCATGTTCTGTTTACGTGACAACCCTTACTAGTTCGCTGTGTTGGGTGGTGGCGAGTTTAACGACACATTTATATATTTACGCGATCTAACCCAAAACACCCCTATTATGGCGTAAAATATATATTTGTTACTCTTTCAAATGCGTAGGAAATATTTTTTTAGACGTCCTTTTTTTAAAATCATCTGAGATCAAGCAGTATTTGCTTGGCAACAAACGGATGGGCCAAGTTGATGGAGATAGGAGTTGACCATTGCAATGTTGAATATTCCGTATCTATTTTAAACAATTTTCTAATTTATCAGCATGCTAACTTGCACTCAGTGTGACAAAAAGGGTTTGTTCTTGGCACATGCTGCAATGGGCTCCCACTTAGTTACAAACATGCTTTCGTATGATAATGCGTTTCTTTTTTTGTTTAGATCATGTAGGCATGATGGCAACATATATATTTTTTATTATAACCCTCCATCAATGGACAAAGCCAATCAAATTAAGTTTGGCACGTGAGCAAATATGCCAATTGATTTGTTTTTATTTTAGCAAAAACAAGAGTAATGTTGAAAAGGGAGGAACATTTTTAACAAATTTACATCACCCAAAATGAACCAATTATGAATAATAATAATAAAAGATGGTGACAGACTTCGTATAAAATTAGGCTTTCGTGTCATTAAAATAATATCCCTCGCCAACAAGTACAAAGACAAACAATCTGTTTACGATGTATAAAGTACACTGTCTTTGGAAGAAAAACATAACTTTCACCAGCATGGAAATAATTACACCAGCCTCGGCTCAACTTCCACATATAAGTATATATGTACACACACACACACAGAGTATGGATGTGGACAAAAGGTCGACATGTGGGTTAAAGCAAGGAAGCTCCTTACATCTCCTCGAGAGCCAGGCATCCCTGGAGGCTGTAAGAGTCTGGATGTGGTTATTAGACAGGTCTCTGGAAGAAAGACAAAAAGAGGCAACACAATATTCAGGGATTATTAATGATAATCTCAAGGGCTCCGTAGGGCTGTGCAGGTCTTGGCTCGGTGGCCTCGTGCCAAGTGGATTCATTCTTAAAACAGAGCCGTTTTATAACAACTTAAAGAGTTTCGATTTAAAGCTTTCGTGACTGCAGGGATTCATCTTCTTGGTTCTTTCCGTAAAGTCACAGTAGAAGGGAAATAATAAAGTATTAAAAATAAAACATAACATTTTTAACATTTAATTTTTATTATTTTATTATTTCCCTTCTACGTGACTTTACCGAAAGAACCAAGAAGAACTTAAAGAGTGTTGCATTTGGAGATATATCTTTTCTGGAACCCAGGGCACCTGTGGACACAGTACATGGACAGCATCTTGCTCTGCTTGCAGCAATAGCTGTGGGTCCATTTAATTAAGAAATAATAACTTTCTTCGTTATTGATGTTAAACTCATCACTTTCAAACTGTTTTAGTTTGTTGTCCTTCCCCCACACCTCCTATTAGCACGGTTGGCTACATACAGTACGCAAGAAGTTCCACATACATAGATACACATGTTCAAAATTTGAATGCACATTAGCTGGCATGCTAAACCAAAGAGAAAATACATCACCATCATCTGAAACTTCTTCAGTGTGATTGTATTAATTCATTTTCTCATTGCCAGTATTTTCCATTACCATGCAGTCCAGGTGTTATTTACATATTAGGTATATATATATATGTTTATGTTGAGTGTACTTGTTTGTCAGGAGGTATAAAAATCTGGGCTGTGATGGGCACCAAACGGATTGACTGCAGTTCATTGATGTGGACCACTTGCATCCGGAATTTTGGCTGCAGCCCATTCTATCTTTGAAATAGTACTGCATTTTTAATCCATTTTGGTTGTGTAAATGAATACCACATGTAAGAATCAACCAAACGATTCTATCTTCTTGGTTCTTTCGGTAAAGTCACGTAGAAGGGAAGTAATAAAATAATAAAAATAAAACATAATAAAATAAAATAATTCTCACGACGTTTCGGCTACAACGCAAGCAGCCGTCTTCAGGTGAAGAATGAGACAATGCCAAGCTAGGAGCTTATATATAAGCTGCGTTGGAGGTGGAAGAAAGAGCGCCTTAACAAAAGAATGTGCATATGAAGAGGAATTTAGCATATTCATGGCAAATGCGTAGGAGGTGGGCGGGGGGGGTTTCAAAGTCATATTATGCCCATGCATTATGCAGGATCAACAGCACCAAGGGGGGGTGCAGGGATTAGCAGTAACAAAGGAAAGGAATGTTAATGATATGTAGCTGCAGTTACTCAACCACCACGTAGAAACTAAAGTATAAACTACATAAAAAACTAAAGTATAAATATGATTCTAGTTACATTTAAATATGGCCAAGAGCTGCTTCATTCATCATCCAGCGACGTGGGCACAGAGCCCAAATCTAAAATATATTTATACGATTTACTGCTCGTTATTGGATGCATTGTTCCTATTGTGGGACGCACGTTACAGAGAGCTTTGATGTGTGCAGCTGGAGAGAGGTGTACTGTCACTCACAGCACTTGCAGCTTGTGCATTTGCTTGCAGAAGTCTTGGGGAAGTGAAGAAATGTTGGTCCCAGTTAGAGTGCTAGTTGACACAAAGCACAGGCAATGTTTTGAATAAATACTGTGTTTTTATAATAAATGGCATTCCACGTAATACTTATTATTACTATCATTATGATAACATCATGCAATCATATTTCAAACAATAACATTTCACCAATGCATGGGTAACCCATACCTCTGCAGTCCGAGACCCAGTCATTTTAAACAGTAAAGAATAATGTATTTATGTTATTCATTTACAAACAGCTTTTTTTATTCGTTTAACAACTTTCCGGTAAAGTTTGCATCTCCACAAAGACTTTCACAAAACAGTTTACTCTGTTCAATATTAGCTCATATATCAATGTTTCATCTGTAGTACTGTCCATTACTAATGTGTTATTTCCATGACGCAAAATATACTTTGTTGCCAGACTGGCGTTTCACTTAAAAAAAAGACTACCAATAGTCACTCACTCAGATAATAGGGCATCACGAAAAAACGACTGTGTACTGCACAAGCCTGGTAAGCAATCACAGGTACACGAACAGGTTTGCATTGTATACATGTTGATATGAGGATCTCTGATTATTTACAGGGTGTTTATGCAATTTCTGAATGTGTTTTGCTTGCAAACGTAATAACGCACGTTACATTTGTGTTGCAGCAAACAACATCAACATACTTTTGAATAATGTATAAACAGCCACAGAGGCAATTATGATGATGCATAGGTGTTTTTTTTGCATGATTGCGTTCCCGGCAAACATGCAAACGTTGGGTCAACGTTGGCATTTGGATGGAACTGGTGGACCAACGTTGGCCCCACGTTCCATGTTTGCTGGGTATGGCCTGCTAGCACTGCTAAGAGATGAACGCTTGCAAGGGGCTACTCACAGGCTTTCCAGGTTCGTCGTGCCATTCAGGATCGGCAGAAAGTCGACTTCAGCAGCCCCACGGAGCAGTCTGACATTCGGAGACAAATGACCTTGAGCAGTGCTTTCTCGTGACCACATGAATGAGTTAACTGCGTGAATGTGAACCATGTACTCGGGAATACATGTGCATGCAGTCAATAAATAAATGGAATACTCTACATGAATGAATGAATGCATAAATAACAGAGCAAATTTCTCAGAATGGAGACATTTAAATTGCCCCTGCATGTGTTTTTCTAAATGTGTTTATAGACATTTTTGGTGGTGGTTAAACACAATTTATAGCAATATGTTTAAATAAATAGGTAACATTTAGGGCTTGTGATCGGGCGTTTGCCAGTGTAGCTCCAAAGATTTGAAACGCTTCAGAATCGTTAGATATATGTAAGTCTGTCTGGAAAACCCACCTCTTTAAACTGGACGTCTAACCCCCTAGTTCTGGCCGTTCACCCTGGTTCTATTTATTTCCTGCTTTTCATACATAGGGCATTGACATCTACGGAATGAAATACACCTTAGAAACGTTTTAAAGCTTCCTCATCAGAGATAACCATTTTAAACATCCCTGTTATTGTTGTTTCCTAGTTGAGGGCTTCACTGCTAGGATGCACCCTGGTCAAAACCGATACCAGCTCATCGTGTCCACTTACCACATGCCATATAAAACAAAACATTTAAGATCTTGTGGATGGGAAAAATGCAGCAACTCTATAATAATTTTGTTGTTGATAGATTAAATATGCATGTGCGTTTGACAAAACGTGAATGTGTTTGAATGTGTCGTACGACAATGAGATATATTTTTACGAGTTGTTAAAAATGAGTGCCACATTGTTGGACGTCAACAGGGCTGTTCTTACGTATAGACCGGTCCCTGCCATGGTAATGTGGAATGTATACATTTGGCTTAGTGGTATTTGTGGAAATGGATGCTATGCCCCTGTTTGTTGGAGCAGGGAGCCACTCCGAATTGTGAATAATACAAAAACTGCTGATGCAGAACAGCTAAAAAGTCAAATTTATTCACGAAATAAACCATTCATGTGGGCCTGTGGAATGCACCCAGTTTAAATTTGACAACTGCTCCAAAGCCTTTAATTCATCACATATTCAGCAACCAATCACGAGGCAGACACCTCATAGCAAACGCATCTACATTCTAATTATTCAGATTATGCCCTGTCACGCTTTCTCACGCATGACAACAACTCCGGTTGTGCTTCCAGGAAGCATTAGCTGACTGTTTGCTGATGCAGTGCTTCCTGGTGTTTCCGCATCATTAGGGATGGACGTGCCGACAGCGGAGCCTGCAGCGAAGCTGTGCGGCATGAGTGAGCAAGCCGGCATCTCAGTGGGCATGAGCCGTGCATGCCTCGATCTGCCAGCGGTTTGCAGGCGTGGTGCAGGCGTGGTGCAGGCGTGGTGCAGGTGTGTGGTACAGGTGTGTGGTACAGGTGTGGAGCAGGTGTGGTGCAGGTGTGGTGCAGGTGTGTGCAGGTGTGTGGTGTAGGTGGGTGGTGTAGGTGTGTGGTGCAGGTGTGGTGCACGTGTGGTGCAGGTGTGTGGTGTAGGTGTGTGGTGTAGGTGTGTGGTGTTGGTGTGGTTCCGGTGTGGTGCACGTGTGGTGCAGGTGTGGTGCCGGTGTGGTTCCGATGTGGTACAGGTGTGTGGTGCAGGTGTGGTGCACGTGTGGTGCAGGGGTGGTGCAGGTGTGTGGTGTAGGTGTGTGGTGCAGGTAGTGGTTCCGGTGTGGTACAGGTGTGTGGTGCAGGTGTGGTGCCAGAGTGGTACAGGTGTGTGGTGCAGGTGTGTGGTGCAGGTGTGGTACAGGTGTGTAATGCAGGTGTGGTGCAGGTATGTTGTAGGTGTGGTATAAGTGTGGTGCACGTGTGGTACAGGAGTGGTACACGTGTGGTGCAGGTGTGTGGTGCTGGTGTGGTGCAAGTGTGGTGGAAGGGTATGCGTACTTTACTTGTCTCGAAAAACCACTCAGTGCCATATACTGTAACGAGCTGCTTTGCTTTAGATCATTACATTTTAATAACAAACCCAGGTAAATGTTCAGCCCTGCAATGGATTACTCATGCTAATGTTGGCAGAAGGGACTCCACTAAAAGGAGCTTTCGAGAGCCCCTATAGAGGGTATTTTGGCCTACTCTTCCACAATGGTGAGATGATCTGGGAAGAGGTGGGAGCGTTAGCATTTCACCCACCACATGTGACCAGTGTCTAACTCTGGTTTCACCCATTTACACCGCTGGGTGGACAAATGTTGGAAGGGGAGATTTAAGAAACGTGCCCCATCTGGTTCACTCTGCCGTGCCAGCAGGTAGAACTGGCGACCTCTGCATTGCAGGTCCACTCTGATAATTACCATCGCACCACGGCAGCGTGTTCACCATTTAATAATAACCAAAATCACTAAACATGTGTTTTAGAATGCTCCCGATTGAACCCCCCCCCCTCCCCTTGAAACATCAGAAATAAAAATGTACGTTTTGTCATTAATAGCTCACTACTTGGCTTTCCAAAGAGGTTTACCATCTGCAGACTTGAGAGAGAGACATGTTTAGATGTACTGAATGCACACGTATGTAAATGTGGGTATGTATCGTGGTTAGAGGGCTGCGCTACGAATCCGGTAGCCCGAATTCGATGACAAATATCTGAACTGGTTCTGGGCCTCCCCTAGGTCGAGTCAGCCTCAAATGAGTAACTGGTGTGGTGTGTAAACATCGCCACTCAGGAGACAAAGACGGCCGGGCGTGGTGCTGGCTACCCACCCTCTCGTGTGACGTACCGTTTTTCATAGGTGCTCGCAAATGGCTCTTACCCCAAAAGTCCGTGAAGGCTATACGGGGGTTTTAGTATGTGTGTGGTGTGTGTGTATGCAGCGTGGTTGTGAGACAGAATGTGAGCCCGTGTCTGCTGGCACACTGTGCCTCTCTGAGAGCACTTACAGAGTCTGCAGCTCCGCCAGGTTCTGGAACGCAGTCTTCCCCACAACTCGGATGGGATTGTCATAGAAATGGCTGTAAAAGTTTAGAAAGATATATATTTACATATATATTTTTGACAATGTGCAAGACTACATCCAAAATACATTTATCAATTTTCTCATAAAACTCAAGCTCTTTTCATTTTAAATGAAAAACATGTTAAAAGTGATTTGTGCGCGCACTTGAAACTTTTGAGAATATTAGATATGCTATAACACATTGTCCCATGTGAACAGTCGGGTAATATTTTCTACAGAAAAATGGAACAGATCTGCCTGCCATATTTAATATGGTTCATACATCACCATGGTACGCATTAGGTATGTTCAATATATGAGAATAGGTACATTTCACAGCCAACAACAATTCAAAGATCAAATATTAAACTGTAAAACAAATTCCACAGTGCGCCTATACATTTTCTGATATAAGCATGAAGTAAAAGCTTAAAGTAAGTATGTATGTTTCTTTTAAGAACATTCACACTCTAAATGTGCCAATCAGTGTAATTCTGTAAGACCCATAGCAGAACACTATTATACTACTGCGTAGGATTCCACAGTTCTGCTGCGTGCTGTCCGGGATAATGTCCGACGTTTTGCTCAACATGCTCGGGGCTTCTTCAGTAATTGCTTGATTGCTGAAGAAGCTTCCAGCACATGCATTGAAACTTCGGACGTTGTGCCGAAAAAACATGGCACAACCCGAAAACGCGCCGGACAGTGACTACAACATCACACGTGAACACTTCGACCAATCACGGTGTTTTGTCTTGTGTGTGTAGTGTCCTTAATCATGAATAGACAGCACCATGAATTGAACTGGGAAATATGTGCAAAGTGGCTTATTGCCAAGTGTGCTGACCACCGTGTCCCGTGCCAGAGTAACGCTGCTCCTGTATAGCGGATACACGCGAGTCTGCGTATGTTGTGAGTGCTCGCAGGGTGAGAGGCAGGCGCGTACGCACATGGTTTTGAGGAGTGGGTTGCTCCGAAATGCATGCTCAGGAATCATCTCGATTCTGTTGCTGTGAAATGCTCTGAAAACAACACGACAGAATACTTTTCAATGCTGGCAATACGCCTCTGTAAACAGTCACGCGGTATGAAAAATCAACCAGTGATGACTTAATAATTGCATGTTATTGAAAGGGAAGAAATGTCTACATTGAGATTAATTAGGAAAATACTCAGAGGCCAGTGGTTGAAATTTCAACTTGTGCGCCAACTGGCTCAGTAGGGAACCAGCCTTCTGAGCACTTATTTGTCCTATCTGATTGGCCTAGTTCAGATAACCTGTTAATCACAAGTTGAATAAACAAACCTGTTAACTTTTTAAATTTGACGAACATAATTTTAAGTACCAGCTTAAGATCGGTATCAGTTAACACGTGGATTAAATGCTTGCTTCTGACAAATTCTGTTAATTAAATGTGCTTACGTAGAAAAACGCGCACTTTCAGTTAATTTAATCTGACACTATATATGTTTTATGGCACATTAAACACTCTAAATGCAGTGATGTGCTATAGTACAGATGATGAATATATAACTTGAGAAAATCGGAAAGTCCTATAATAGTACGTTTTCCAAATGCATCCCTTGATCTCTCTGTAACAACAAATGACTGCTATGCTGGACTTCACGATTAAATCACGTGATACAGATGTTCCATGCGACCGTCTACTATACTCTACAAACATTGAAATCATCCAGTTTGTAACACAGTGGATACAGCAACTGCACAATTAGTCCGGTGACCTGAGTTAAATGCCTGGCCATGGCTAACATCAGCTAGTGAGTGATATTTGAACCGGTTCTGGGATTTCCCCAAGACTAATCTATCCTCGGTTGACTGCCTGCTGTGGTGTGTAAACAGTGGCACGAAGGGAGACAAAGGTGAGTGGGCATGGTGCTGGCTTCACAGCCCCCTCGTTTGCAGTGCTGACCTGAACATGTGCTGGTTAAAAGCCCGAGCTCCAGCAGGCTATGTGTGTGTAGTAAACATATAAATAATGTACATCAAACAACACAGTATTTGTTTAACAAAACGACTTAATTAACACATTTACCACTTTACGTTTTTACTTTAAGCAATAACTTTGTTTCTGTGATATTTCTACACGAGCGTGGTGAATATACGGTGTTTTCTCTCTCGAATACTTACAGCTCCCTAAGGTTAGGCAGGTCTTTGATGGCCTTTGGGAACTGAGAGAGCTGATTGTAGTTAAGATCCCTGTGAAAACAGTAAGCCCACACGTGCACACCTCCATCAGATCCTGTAATAACTTCGGGGAACGTGTGTTTGTACAGCGGGGGCAACGTGGGGGGGGGGGGGGGGGCTTACGTCGTTTGGACAGGATGGGCTTACGGCAAAGCCGTCCATTCAGGTGCAGAAAGAGGAAATATGTGCTGGCAATATTTGTATTGCCTCGGGTTGTGGGGACAATGGGGTTCGCTTCACGTGGATCTTGGTGCTGACCTTCACGCTGTCACAAGGTGGCTTGAGATTGCCAGAAGTGGCTCAACGGAAGATCTCTGTAAAGAGTCTAAACTCAGCACATAAAGAATCACGCTATTGAGCAAAGCAGAGTAAAGCCGCCTCTGTCACCGATCACAATCCACGCGGGGAAACTCGCGCGTGCACGCGGGAGGTGGTGGCGACGATAAACCGTCGTTAAAGAGGTCCTTAACGCGCTCTCAAACAGGAAAAGGTAAACGCGCAGTCCCGTAATTGGTCGCTCACGCCCACTCCATACACCTCCAATGTGCGCGGTTGACTCCGTACGGTGTGAAAGAAGTGCACTATATATAAACGGTGTTCGGCTGACTCTTCCACGTTCGTCAGACGTCTGGGAACAGGTGGGAGTGCTCACACTTTACCCCACCACAGGTGTGATCCGCCGAACGACTAACTGTGGTGAACCCATCTAGAAATGGGTTGGGTGGACAGAGGCAGTAAAGATTTAAGAAACTTTCACTCGTTGTTTCGACAACCGCCGCGCCATGAGATGGAATAGAACCGGCGACCCCTGGATTGCAATCCAGCGGTCGCCAACGATTACACCACAGCAGCGTCTATTTACACAAAGTTGGCAAAAGGAATTTTCTCTCGTTCTGGTATTTTGCAAATTATTTAATTGAAAAGAATAATGAATAGAAATGATGATGAAGCTGTTTTTGAAACATCATTGATATTGTTGATAAATGTGTCGATGGCCACTATCAACAAAGCAAGCACAGCATACACATTTTATTGGCATCAACTATTGATATTTAATAGTAATCAGACTAAAACATCATCCCTGGATAAATATTTAATTGTTGTTTCAAACAAAGGTTTCCATTTCTTTGGAAGTTTGCTTTTAGTGTAAAAAAAATAAGATCTGCGTCTAGATTTTCAAACATAAACTCGAAGTTAAGAAAACCTGCTGTTAAAAACCTGGCTGTGTTGATACCATTGGGGAAAACAGGTTCCTCCTTACATAAAGGAAACAACTGATAACACACACAAACTTAGCCTCATGTCCTATTGTAATAACGTATCCTCCATACCACAGCATAATCGAGATGTGAATGACCTCGCCTGGTGTGCACGAGTTTGTGCGTTCGATCTGGACCCTGATGCCTGTTGTATATTTGGAGTTTGCATGTCTCTCTCTCTCCCTGTGGTTGCGTGGATTTTTCTCCGGGTCCTTCGTGTTTTTCCCTCCACATTGAAAACATGCGAGAGTATTTGGATGTTAGAAACCTCCACGTGATAAGCCTCTTCGTTGAGCTATAATTTGTGGCCAGGTCGCTTCTCTACAGGCCCAACTCACCCAATGTCGACTCCTCTCAACAGTCCATTCCCTTGTTAGTGTGCAGGCGAGAGACCTTTTCTGTTTCTGCAGAAAAGTTTATTAACCTCCAATACTGGCAGAGAAATTGGTGTGGAATCCATAAATCCTTTGGACACAAGTTTGGTTATTTGGATGGAATATTTCCCCTATTTTTCAATGTTAGTCATTGTTAGTATTACCAAACAGATCATTGCTCATCATAACATCCCATCACTGTTGTGTGATGTCACACAAGTATTGTTAGCAAGCAACTATGAAGGCTGGCACGGGACACCAGAGGGTGGGAGGCCAACACCACGCCCGGCTGCATTTATCCGCCTTTGTCTCCCGAGCGGTGATGTTTACACACGGGATCAGGTACTCATTGAAGGTTAAGTTAAATCTACGTGAGGCCCGAGACTGGTTAAAATATACACCACTGTTTTTTGTCTTGTAGGGGAATTGAACTCTGGTCCCCGGATATGGAGCAGTCGTACAATGCGCTCATCCGCCATCACCTCCTACTTGCAACACCAGATCGTGGCTCTTTTTGAGATTGCAATTGTGCTGAAGCATTTTCACTTTCAAGAGATCGTGCTTGTTTTCACAGACTGGCCCTCTTTTTGTAGCGAGTCGAGGCGCTGAGATGGCCAACCTTGCCAGACGTTTTACACCCGTGTAGTACCCCATACAGCTGTATCCGGAAGGGAACTGCTGTAAGTCGGGTCAGCACTGAGCATGGTAAGGAACGGGCCTGGGGATAGGCACCAGCTAATCAGAAGGCGATCCCGGTCCAATCGGAGACGCTGATTATATTATTAATTAACTATTCGCACGAGTTTTCAACGTTGTGATCGACTCTGATTGACTTAGAATGCACGTGCTCTGCACAATAAAACGAGCATACTTTGCAGGCGTTCGGAGTGGCAGAGGATTGGAGACGTCCGAGGTGACAGTAATTGTATATTGAAAGAGAGCCATGAATGGAAAACCGTTTGCTTGCTCTCGTCGTTAAGAAAGATTCTGCTGGTGTTAGAAGTGGCAGTGATTGTGCGAAAACTAGAAATAGCAGTGATTGCGTTGATGTTGAAGTTCCCCTTTCAACAAGCTGCGTTGCCCAATTTATTAATGTTCTCGTTAATGGTTAATGCACTTCTCATTAAGCCAGCACAACAACGAGTTTCTTCCGCGTCGAGAGTTCTGCACAGAGTTCTCATTCGCACGGTTGGCTACGTGGGGTGCGAAATAAGTTTAACATCGTACATACACACAACACTGCACTCGCATGCCCCTGACCATCAGTGCTCAACACTCGAACGGTCCGTACTCAATGCACACAGTTCCAACGAATGCACGCGTGCCCACAGGATGCACAGACATTTGCCGCTTATGGATGTCCGTCTTGTGACTGGGAATGCACCGATATCATCCTGGTGGTGTCAGTGCCACAGCACGTGCGTGACGTCACCAGGCACGTGCGTGACGTCATCAGGCACGTGCAACGTCTCCCCAAGATTGACCTTCACCCCCGGCTACCAGAGGTGAGAGATGTAAGAAAGCAACGAAGGATTGCAAATATTTATGTTTACTTAAGGGTGACTTCAAAGCTAATGGGGGGGGGGGGGGGGGGCATGTCGATCATTCACATTTACATTTTACAGGGTAATTTTTTTGTAATGTTGAGATTTATTGAAGCAATATTAACAAATAGCATTTATTTATTTAAATTGGCATTGTGGATGTGCATTAGAGGGGAGGTGGTGGCGCAGTGGTAATGTACCATGATAACCATCACGTGACATTGAGTTGTTTTTTCTGGATTACGGCTCACATCAGTGGCGAGTGATATTTGAACTGGTCCCTTCCCCATCCCCCAACTTCACCAACCCACACGAACCAGCGTGGTGAAGTATGGTCAAACCACCCACATTGCCTGAATTGTCAAGGCGAGGCCTTCATCTTCCAGTTGATTCATAAATGTCTGTATGATATTACGTTTAGTGTAGAGAGATCCAGTAACCAGTTGAATACTAAATAGTGTGAAGATTGCTAGTGGAAAATAAATGTAAACGTATATTTGTCAGTGGTCGCCTAACAGTGCGATTTTAAATTATTGAAATTTGTGATTTTTTACTTCATTGCTTATAACATTCAAAATCTTCACGGATTTTTTCAATGCACTGGCCAAATTAAATTAAGTGCATTATATCCAAACAAAGTCAATTTAGCGGGATGTGATACAAAAACTATTGGCTAAATCCAATTAAGATGTGGCTATAAAAATAAAATTAAAGCCAACTTAATTGAACGATCTGATGTGGTGTGTCTACTTATATGTGCGGAAAGCTCTTTGTAGCCATTACAGAAGAGAACATCAAATTTGTAAAGGCAATACTGTTTTGAACATCCCACACCCTTTAAACAAAAGTGAAAGTCTATCTGTGTTTGTTGTGCGCATAGCGGAGATGAGATCGAGCAAGCATTCCAGAATCTCTGTATATCCCTCGCCTGGCTGATTTGCTTTTGTTTTGATGAAGCGAATGCTATTGAAAGGACACAGAACAAATAGCTTCACATGCCTCAGCTTCAAGCATTTTAAGCCAAACTGCTCGCAGCTAAATTTAAACTCTTCCCCAATCGTTTTAGGACAACGTTTAGGCTGCTTGGACTCCTTGGCTCTTTGATCTGTTATGGTTGCTCTTCCACATTCAAGACTTCAAAGTGATGAATAAATACATGGCGTGTGCAAAGTTATTTTGTTAGGTTAAGGTTTTGCTGCCCGCTATCGTGGATGAATAATTTAGTTAATAACATTATTCCTGAAGTTTTTGTGACTTACAAGCCCTATTTAATGTTCGTGTGTGTGTACACGTCTTCCCTTTACAGCCTCAAGCGGCTCTCAGTCACACCGCGATCGTACACAGTCCACGCAACGACTGCTCGAGTCACCAAGGTTTCCGCAATCTTTCACCATTGCACTCATCCTAATTGATGGAGTTAGGAATTCAAAAAGATTGCACAGGGACTTTGAAGTGAACGCGTGTTCTACCCAGCTAGCAGCCCAACAAACTACTGCATCCGTTTACAATACAATTCCACCAACTCAACGTTCTTAATAAAACAGATGACGGTCATTAAGATTCGTCACATTCGAATAAAAATATCGTAATGATTGAAGGTCGTAGCAGCAGCAGCATGCTGAAATATAGGCCCATTGAGACGTGATAAATTGGGTCTTTTGCAAAGGAAACCTTGGCTACAGCAAGATGCATGCTTAATGAACGTTTATCCAGGCGAACAGAAAAGTAACACTTTCCATGCAGCATAAACATATACATTTCAAGGGGTAATTGCGGCATGTATATGAGTACCAATGTACAATAGTTTATTTGTTACACTATCTATGCTTGTGAAT